CCATTTGCCACTGCGCCACCTCGGCCCGCTTTACTTTACCATGATAAAACAACAAAACTTTAGCACACATAAGTAAAATAAGTTCAACGATACAGCAATGCATAAAGAATTATGTAAAGAATTATGTGAGCGAAAATTTCATAGAGAAGGGATCCTGGTCATAGGAGAAGAATCGAGTAATGACATAATCTGAGTTGGAGTTTCTAACAGAAAGCTAACAGAAGTATTAAGATCATAGTAAAACTTCAAAGAAATATCTTTCTCTATGGTCCTGCAGCCAGTCTGAGAGAAGACACTCAAACCCGTTTATGTAACCCTAAACAGCAACCAGTGTGATGCAATAGGCGAAGGCGTAGTTCAAAGATCCAATTCCACACAGATCAAACCACTTGGAATAGATCTTTTCACCTCATGGAATGGATCCACACCACCACAGCTCAACGATAGACATGGCGACTAGTCATTTTTTAAGAAAAAAAAAAGAGATTAACATATCACACACAACATAGAGAAAAGTTTTTGCGAGGAATGACTGCAGGCTTTAAATATTGCCATAAAAGAGCACCTCGATGGTTTTCGAGTGGTTGGAGGATTTTTAAGGGTAATTCTTCAGAAAAGCACTAAGCTCGATGGGTATTATGCACACTATTTTAATAGGAGGGCAGAGGTGGTGTAGTGGCAAGTGATGCATATCACACACAAGTGGTCACGAGTTCGAGTTCCGGATCGATATCCGCCTAGACCTTTCGAGACTTCCATCCCTCCGGGGTCGGTTTATTGGCAGAGACTGGTCTGAGAGGTAAAAATGTACTGATCCATACATTGGCCATTGGCCACAAGTCATTGTGTAGGCTACATATGCATTAAATACGGCACTACGATTCTGAGGAGCGGTCGAATGCATGGCTCATTCCTCAGACGTGATTTGTCAAAAGGTCTAAATCCCCATTCTGACGGGAATTTAGGCCCCTTAACAAATCACGGGATATTCTGTCGCTACAATTTGGTAAGGAAAACACGAATTTCTTTGCTGTAGGGCTATTTATTGAAAGCCTAGAAAGCAGTGCGACTTCTTATCAATATATAAAATTTATATAATATATGAAATTATATGCCCAAGTGAAAATTATAGCTTTCAGGCAGAATCGAAGAGCTTTTTCAGTCTCAACCAGCGCATTCCTCACATTCCCCCCTCGAAACGCACACCTTAGGCAATTCGTGATCATCGATGTTTCGTAGCGTCGGAACAAGGTGGAAACAGCTTTTTTCCCTAACCACCAACTAGCTGCAGCGAAATCCCCGGCGATTCCACGCAAGACGATGGAATGGTGTTTATTGCTAGTGACACGAAAGAATCCTGAATGTTCACTTGGAACAAGCTTACCAGAAGATTCTTCATTGGGTAGAATGGTGTGGGGTTTTCCAAGATTCGATGACTCATAAAATGAATTGGAATTGGTTAGAGAACTGAACATTTAGAGAGAGGGATTCCTTCAGGATTGAACTCCAACAGTTGATGTAAAAACCCTCGTAGTAAGATTTTTACCGACCGTTCCTTTGCCAGCCTTGAGATGATGATAAAAGCAATAAGATGTAGTCAACTAATGTTTCCTCATTTTTTTTTCTAGGGAACAGAACATAGATGGAAATAATAAACGAATGAAATGGAAATTGAACGTTTTCAGTGGAGAGATCAAATCAAACGATGATTTGATTGTGGTGCAACGGCCCCGTGGCACCTCTTGTCCCACACTCAAACGCTGCAAAAACCTCAATAACACCAGCTTTTACCCTTTTCTCGAAATGTTTGCTGTTCTTTGTGTATCTACAATTCTTCTACGCTTTTTATACGGACTCTGGAAATCTTACTGCCGGAAATGTCCAAAACAATTCATGACTTTAAATCAATCCCGGAAGGCTTCGAAGAAATATCAATGGTCATCAGTCACTACAGAAATGCCTTAGAGTAAATGATTAAGCCACGGAGAACGTGGGATACNTTCAAAACATGGCAAGAAAAGTGTACTGGTTTCGATGGCAGTGTTTGCTTGATGAGAAAAAATAAAAAGGACATGAATTAATTGTAAATAATAGTGCGCATTTCATGACTATGACTGACTTTATTACTATACTTATATACACATACAGATATACTACGTACATATACACACAAAGGCATAGTTCACGATAGTTTTGAGGTGCCTTTTTGATATTGAAAAGCGTAAATGTTGTTGTAGAGGAGTCAATCCGTGGCGAAGAAAGTGTGAAAATCTGTCAACACCAAGGCTTTTTGAAGGTGTGGGATTGAGGTTGTACGAGATCACCGTGACGGTAATGGCATGTAAGGAGTGCTTGGACGAGTTTCAACTTGCTCCCATTGCTCATGGTGATGACTAAATCAACTAAAATTATACGAAACTGCCTTTCACTGTTGCTATGGTTATGGCAAGTTGTTTGACCTTCCTACATGGGAGTCTCTCGAAATAGTGCAGTCTTTGCAAAGCCGTTGAAACTCGTCCATGATGGGTGTGGTATCCACACGATACAATCTCTGACCCCTTATTGTGCCCAATCCATGACGTTTTTCGATCTTATATCGGCAGTATGGTATAAAGGGGAGCCTCGAATTTATACTATAGGGAAACACCGGAACCACTTTTATCGTGAACTGTGCCTTTAAAGGGCCAAGAGATCAAAGATCGAAAAGGATAGCTGCCATAAGCTAGTTGTAAGGAATCTTCGCAGTGGCCTGTGAAGGGCTGCCAGCTCGAGTTTATGTCAGGAGGCTCAGGTGCAAGGCCTAGTTTGAATACTACCCTGCCCGCATCCCACTCGAGTCCTGAATCGGAATTCGGCTACGGTATTCGGAGGGTACCACAATCCTCAATGGAGCCTGATTATGTAGTTGGGCATCATGGGGAACACTCGATACTGTAATGACCGTAAGATATATGTAGTTCAGAAAAGCCTCTTTACAGAGAGAAACCCTAAACGATTCAAGGAAAGCTTGTGAGTGTAAATGCGAGCTGGTTGTAACCGAGTTGCCAGATCAGGACAAGATTTGTGTCGTTCGGTTTTTACGGTGGTGAACGGGCCCGGCCTATTTCACTCATGCGTGGATTATTCGGCTTTTCTTATGAGATTCTCACAAAAACGATGGGTAGGAGAGCCTGTTTCAGAGCTCAGAGGTCAGCCCTAGGCAGCAAGCCGCTCTCAGACCATCGAGGAAGGCCTTTTAATGGAAACTCAAGCCGGTAAGCTTAAGACTCTATGCTTTTGGTAGAATCTTTGGCCTTCTAGGGTTGGAAAAGAAAGTCGAAACCCAAAGGTGCAGGCTTCTAACGACTTGTTTGGTAGAAGAAGGAGAAGGACGAGAGATTTTCAATTTTCAGCAATCTGTGTAAGCACAGAGGTCTTCATTTCCCTAATGAAAAATGAAAACGATGAAAAAACGATTGAAGAATGAGCGACCAAGATGAATGGGTGGCTGGATCGATGAATATGATCGGGGATCGGAACAGCTACATGGACTGCTGCGTGGCTAACGAGAGGATCCAGTCGTTGACGATGGTCGCCTTCGCCGCCGTCGCTCAGTCGCCATCGAAGCCGAAGCGTAATCGCTAGCATTTGCGAAAGTGTGCGATTTAATCTGAAATTCCCCTCACAAACATCCGCCCAGATGAACTGGCCGAACTGGATTGTCCGTCATTTGCAATTACGCCATCGACGCATGCAACGTATACTTCCACTTAACGGCTGACCATGGACCATTTCGGAACAGAACTGCTTCTGTTTGAACGACTTACAGCACCAACGGATAACTTCTACTTGTCGAACAGGAGGCCTACAGAAGGCCAATAAGAAGCGTAAAAGATGTTGAGTGGGAGAGCTAAGCATCTATTGTTTCTAAAAAAAGAAACTTGTAGCAGACCAGTCCCCTGACGGCCATTGCCAACAGGTTTCTATTCAGGGAAGCTTTTATGACAACCCTCGGACGAATTAGGTTCAACTTGAGTGATCGTCGCCTAGGTGAGATTTTACGGAGCGGGTCTATGGACAGTGGCTCCGGACCGACGACAGCTATCCAACACTGATTCGTGGGCAACAAAAATGTTCCCACGATGAAACATCACCCGATCAGCTCGATACTTCTGAAAGACACCCTAAGCTAGGATTAGCTGTGGAATTACGCTAAAGAAGAGATTATAGGCTTAATCCAGGTGTCGGCGGAGAAAGCCTGTTCGCCCGAAACCATCCATGCTACTTCTTTTGACCTTGAAAACACGAGATCCGTAGGCATGGTACAAGCCACTATGACCAGCGCAATATCTCAGGGGGATTGCTAGTGAGAGTGACAGAACCGAAACGGTTCCTAATAACAGGGTTTTGGCAAGTTTTATCGGTATAAACAGATTTTAAGATGCTACAAAACTATCTTAGAAAACTTTTACAAACGGTCAGGGTCAAGCATGGTTGCGAGGAATCACCTTGATCGGACATATCCTTCCGATAATCAGCCCTATCTGGTAATGCCCATCTTAAGAAATTCATGAAAAAGCAGGAGCCTGAGAGAGGGAAAAATCCAATTTCCTTCTGGGGGAACATGAATCTCTCACGATTAATATTGAATGATGTTTTCAAACGACTAAGTCCGGTTTCTACAGATTGCGACTACTATCTCGAGACTATGGGACCTACGTCAAGAATAAGGGAGTAATTTCTGGGGGCGTTGATCAATCCCGTCGGAGGGATGCGCCCCCGCTCCGACTATCATTCAAAATCGCAGTGACGTATTTGAGTGCGTATGTGGCCTATACAATGACTTGCGGTGGTCAGCTGATGTACAAGTCAGCGCTTTTATCCTCTCAGACGCGTCTGGTACCCAANCGTCCTATGACTTTTACCCAAGTTGTGTTAAATAAATGGATCAAAATAAACGACATCTCAGTAGTCGTTGAAAAGTACTAGCATCGTCTCCAATCCTGAAGTTTCATAGGAGCATGTACAGTCCTGGGGGAGATTTGGGAGAGCGTCTTGGAAACGATCGTCCACATCTCACTATTATTAGGAACCAGTTCGGTCAATGTGCGTACGCCACCGTGGCGTCATACGATGAGCTTTTTATGCGGCAGGTCACTCGTAAAATACTCGTCACCCACGCCATCGTGATTCGATGCTTGTTTTCGGCTACTCACTCAGAAATCAAAGACTACACGATCGACTAAGAAATATATCTGGGAGGAAGCTTTATCTTCGATTTCAAGTTTTTCAACTTGGAGTCAATAAGGTTCAACCCAAGGCGAGCACTTGGGTCCTTTAGATTGGGCTATCTCGCAATTACGTCTTTTTTGCCTGTTCCACTACAGCTATACATCTGCAATGACAAAAAGGTGGTTGAATGGTTGTTCCCTGATAATATGTAAGGAACAGAAGGAGCTGATATCTCTTTTATGAGGACCAATCAGATCGGTAACAGGAGAGGGCGATGATTTCAATTAAAGTTCTTTTTAGCCGAGTCAAATGACCCATCTGTCAAAAGTAGCAGGTTTCAGAAGGCAATTCAGAAGGTCAATACGACTATGGATAAAAACTGAAGAGTTTGGTGGGCCCTTCGAATCGGTAGTTTTCACCCATTCAACTACAACTATATCAAGTATTTCCGCCAGCAGCCTTTGCTCCGGCAGTCAAAGCAAGACATACTATAGAAAATTCCATCGTTCGAAGTAATTTTTACAAATGATACAAAAGTTTCTTGGAACCCCCCCCCCCCACCCAGATGAAAGTTTTGCAATAGTTTTCCTTGATTTATCGATCATAAGCGAATGTTCCTGGATCATACCAACAGTTCATCCTCTCGTTCATAGAAAAAAGGGGGCATTCTCTAAACCGTAGCCCTTTTACCTACAGCCACTTCCGCTCGGACGTCTCTCACCGCAAACTTCAGCCTCCCACTTAAACAGAATCCACCTCAGGAGCTTCTCAGATTCCCATCCACCTCAAGAGCCTCTCAAATTCTAAGCTTTGAACACCAGCCCCAAATTTGAACCTTAGAAAAGTCTTATTGGAAAACTATGGATAAATGCATGATTTTTTTCGGTTTTTTTATACCAGCAATGTTTAATTTTTCCTATCATCATTTATAACTCGATTACAGTAGTCGGCATCATTTATAACACAATTATAGTAGTACAACGAGAACAGAATACAGTATCTGGGCTTGATCAGGCGACTATTCGAGCGAGGAATATTATGCAGACCGCCTTGCCGCTGTCCTTGTTCACCATCCAGTTCACCTGCACCGTTTCATCCTAAAAACAAAAAGTATTCCGGTGTAGATAAAATCTTTAACGGAGGTGAGCCGTGGGCTAATCGAAGCAGAAAGGCGGCCAGCTATGTCTCCCATAATCTCCCAGTTCCCATCCCTCCCCCTTCCACCCTTTTTCCTTTCCCTTTTGACTTGTTGTTCTGTTGATTGTTGT